TAATAAATATAATTTATTTCAAATGAATTCTGTGTTGGGAACAGCAGATGGTGTAATTAATGGTTACATTGCTGGACTCCTGCATCATATCAACCATGCATTGAGCCCCAGACCCAGCGACTTAAAATTTATGCAGGGTGTGTGTGCATGTGTGTACAAGATCCCAAGAGGAGAATGGAGGAGAAGGGATTGAGGCATGGCCATATCCCCTTAGGGGTGATTTCTCGCTTCTGTTTCTCTGTCTTTCGGCAAGCGCATGTGACCTATAGCAAAAATCTCTCTAATAACAAAAAGTAAGAACAGATTAGTTCTTTGTAAAGTGACTTTGTACCATCTGTACTGTTCACTTTTGCTCTGATAGGTATATAGAGATATTTCCAAGCAGAAGGAATGAAGTTCGGACACATGTTGGCTCTCATAAGGGAAAGAAAATGGCATCTTCTCCTACTGCTAAGTATATAACTGAGCCAGACATGGTTTTTGAAGAACACGAGGTAAATGAGGATGTTCGACCTATGACAGCTTTTGAAAGTGAGAAGGAAATAGGTAAGGTCCTGCCTCTTGAGACTTACTGGGTCTGTCTTGTAAGTTTTGGTTTTGTTAAACTTTTTTGGATGACTGTATTGTGTATAATTGTGAGATTATAGACAATAGAATTGAGTTAAATATTCAACAAGTCTTCACCTGTGGTATGTAAGTGGATATGTTCAGAAGGGCTTCATTATTTTGTTAGGTTTCTAATTTAGCTATTTTTTTTTTTTTTAAAGTTTGAGACTATCAGATGGCATGATGGTTACATTGCTTGACTCCCAAATAGTTGACCATGGTTTGAGTCTCAGACCCAGCAGCTTAAAATTAATGCTGGGCACGTGTTTGTGTGTGCTCAGAATCCCAAGAGGAGAATGGAGGAGAAGGACTTGTGGTGTGGCCATCCCCTTGGGGGATGATTTCTTGCTTCTGTCTCTGGAGAGCGCACGTGCCCTATAGCAAAAACAAAACAAAAAAAACCCAAAACTCTCAAAAGGAAAAAACTAGTTTATCTGGGCCTGGTGGTTAAAGTAGCTGGATCTTCTGTGTGATTTGCATCTTAGACATGGCAGCTTGAGAAACATGCTAGACTCGTGTGTTTGTGTGTGTGTGTGTGGTCAAAATTCTAAATGGACAGAGACACAGAGGAGAAGGGGTGGCAGCAAGACCATTCCCTGGGTGGGTCGTTTCTCTTCCCCTTCCCTGTCTGTCTTTCTGTCTGTCTCTGGCTAGTGCATGCTCCTTCTAATGCTCAAAAAGTTTGTTTATTGAGAGAGACACAGAGACAGACAGGGACCCCCAACAGGGTGTTGCTCTACTGTGATCTTCCCTCAAGCCTGTCAGTCCACCAGGATTCTACACATGCCTATGGCATCCTTAGCATGGGCTGAACCAGGATCCAAACTCGAGCCTTCCCATAGAGCTCCGGTATCATGGAGTAGCATCCCACCGCCTGCGCCATGGCTATAAGGACAATCATTTTTAGAGATTATCAAAGGTAGTTGATAAAATGTAATAAAAGGGAAATAAAACATCAACATTTAAACCAAGGTAGAAAACTATTTTTGTAGAGAACAGAAATACTGACCAAAGTAAGGACTTTTTGTTTGTCCTTGGATTTAATGATTTCATTACCATCTAACCTCAAAGTAACATTTGGAATCTGAAGTTTGATTTTTTTTTTTTTTAATGGTTTTTGCCATATAAAGCATGTGAGTTTTGAGTTTGCCAGAGAGAGAGCACGGGAAAGTGAAAAATCACTCAATCACCCCCTGGGGGAATGGTCATGCCACAATCTCTTCTCTAGTCTCCTTTTAGGATTTGGGACATGTGTGTACCCATACCTGGTGTGTTTTTCAAGCTGCTAGATCCAGGACTTGAACCATGAAGCTGGCCATATAAGATCCAGCATTTAAACCTCTATACTACCTGCTGGCCTGACTCTGATAAATAACTTTTTTTTTGAATGCATACTTTTTTAAGAATTATTTAATTTAATTTATTTATTCTAATTTGACCAGAGAGCGAGCAAGAGAGAAAGAGAGAGAGGAAAAATGAAAAAGCAAGCCACCAGGTCTGGGACTTGAACTGCGGTTGGCCATTCCCTTAACCAGTCCAGTGCCCTTAACTACCACACCACCTGCTGGCTCCTAAATAACCTTTTTTAATTGGGGACCAGCACTTAGCGTAATGGCTATGTCACTGGACTCCCATGTAGTTGACCATGGTTTGAGTCCCGGACCTGGTGGCTTAAACTCACACCGGGCGCGTGTGCGTGTGTGCCCAAGATCCCGAGAGGAGAATGGAGAAGAAGGGATTGCGGCATGACCATTCCCCCCCTGGGGGGTGATTTCTTGCTTTCTGTCTCTCTGTCTCTTTGTCTTTCTGGCTAGCGCATGCACCCTCTCCGGGCACACACACACACATACACCCTTTGTGAGTTTAAGCCCCCGGGTCCGGGACTCAAACCACAGTTGACTACATAAGAGTCCAGCACATAGCCATTATGCCATCTGCTGGTCTCTGGATCAGTGTAGCTTTTTAAAAAATTTGCCAAGGGGGTGTGTGCACTTGTCAGAAAGAGACAGACAGAGAGAGAGGGACAGGAAGAAAGCCATCCCCTCAATGAGACATGCTATGCCACAATCCCTTCAACTCCATTTCTCCACGCTGTCAGGATTTTGGGCATGTACGCATGCATGCATGCACAACTGCCTGACTTGTTTTCAAGCTGCTGATTATTGGTGGTGGGTGCTGTGTGAGTTCTGGCTTTCTTAACTGAATCAGCCCCTATTTACCTTCTTTATTTTTTTTTTAGATTTTGCCATAGGGCCTGTGGGCTAGTCTGAGGGACAGAGGGGAAAAAAAGGGAAAGACGGAACGTGA